TGATCATCTGAGTACGGGGGATAGAAAGGAAATGGATCTTGGGGTGTTTGGTATTGAGGATGTTGGGTGGTTTGGTGATACTGTGGTTGATGGTAAGTTGGGTCGGTTGGTTCATAATCTTCCGACATTCCCAGATCAGGGCTAAGGCTGGATGTTGAGGGGCCCATATTGGGATATACAGAAGACTGAAATTGTGGGGGGGGTATGCGGGTGTGTTGGTATTGTGATTAGAATTGCGGTTGGGTGTGAGGCATATGGGGGTATTGGTACTGAGGTGGTGATTGTGGTTGGTTGTGGGGCATTTGGGTGTAATTGTGTTATGGTGGAGACTGTGGTTGGGTGTTTGTGGTTTTGTTTCGTCTGGGGGTTGGTGGGAGGTTGATGTGTGTTGGGTTTGTTGTTGGGGAAATGAGGGTTGTGCCCATTGTGTTCGTGGGTCAACCAAATACCTTGGATGAGACACGTGCATTTCAGGGTTACTAACTGACCTGTACCAAGATAAATACTGATCCGTGTGTCGCATATTACCATGATTGAGGAAAACTGGGAATTGCAAGACATGTCAGTGACGCCTCTGCCACATCTTACACCATTATGGAGCAAAGTCTTTCCAGTTGGTAAGACCCCACAGGGCGTCGACCCTTTTGAGATACCACGAGGACAAACAAGTCGAATCACTTGGTATCTCTTGATACATTCCGAACTGCATCTTCACACGGTCGTTGTGGTGCATCTCGACAACATTGAACCGTATGATTGCAGTCTTGGTGCTCCAAATTGCTGCATCCTCGGGGTTTGGTTCATGGCTCAAACCCAAATATGGTCTCCAGACAAACTGCGCAAAAAATTAAATCAGGTTAATAAAAACGTAATATATAAATAATTTAAATGTAGAAAAGTTGAAAGGTACGACGTACATCATCCGGGCCTAGGTGATCCAATAAATTATGGTATAGTGTGACATTGAATCTTGGATTCTTGCCGTAATCCATACCCCTCACGCAATACCTAAAGGAAATGAAAAACATTTTATTTTTAGCATATATTTGGTGAAGAGATGAATAGTAATAGATGATATAACTTGATGACTTACTTTGTTGCGTACGGGAAAACGAATGTGTTGTTGTTGACGAGGTTTAAGGACTCCATCCTCCACCAACCCCAGGCTTGAAGTAAAAAAGCGCAGCCATAAAATGTATATTTTTCCTTGACTGCATTTTTGCACAAGGAACTGTATAGGTGGGCTAAAACTGCAAAACCCCAACTATACTTTCTTGTTTTTTCAAAATCTCTAAGTAAATGTAAATACATAAAATTTACACTATTTCCCGTATTTTCGGGAAATAAAAAGGTTCCAAATAGTATCATTAGATAAGTTTTGGCTTTTATTACCCTGTCTTGCTCGGAGGAATTTTCGTTTAATTCCAAACTTGCATAATGATTTTTAAGCTCAGTGAGTAGTATACCCTGACTTCTCGCACCACCACCTTCAACCATATCCCTGCCCAACAATTCTTCACACTGAGAATTGAATTGTTGAACCGAACCATTAACGGCCTTACCGTCGACAGGGAGACCCAATAACATGTACATATCCTCTAGCGTGACGGTACATTCACCTATTGATAGGTGAAATGTATGGGTCTCTGGTCTCCACCTTTCCAATATTGCAAGAATGAACTTCAAATCAATTGTGCAGTTGGAGATCTTTATAACATGTCCGAAACCTGCGTATTCCATATATAGTACGATAAATGGGTTGGGAGCCAGGTAGTTGTGAGACCGGATTCAGAATCTTTTGGTATCATGAGTTAATAATGTAAAAGGTGTAAGATTAAGTAAGATGAATAAAGCATTACCTGAAGTATAAAAAATGTATAACTAAAATAAAAACTTACAAATGCGGCAATATTGTCCCTTATGCCTCTGTGAGAATCGCCCATTGTGAGAAGAGCCATTGTTGAAAATACTTGAGATTATGAAAGACTTAGAAAGTGTAAGAGATTATGAAAGACTTTGTAGCAGAGAGTGAGACAATTGTGAGTGTGAGAGAAGTATGTTATGCTTTGTATTTATAGGCAAAAAAAATTCATAGAGTAAGTGAGGTGGTAGCTGGTGCATGCATGCATGATAAGTGTCACTCTTGCAGAGTAGGCGCAACTAGGTGACAGCCTTGGAGAAGGCATCTCTGCTTGCATGTAACACGATTGGACATTAAGGGAGGCGCCATTGGACTTGGCGAAAGAGTTCAAAAATTAAAGTTGTCGCCATCCCCATTGGAGAATAAGAGGTGTCATGGGTTGCAGAGTAGGCGCAGGCTAGGTGACAGCCTTGGGGATGCCATGCCTGAATGCATGTAACACTATTGGAGGTGATGGGAGGAGACTTACAAGTAACAGTGTAGGTGCAGAGTAGGCGCAGCTAGATGGCAGCCTTGGAGAAGGCATCTCTGCATGCATGTAACACGATTGGACATTAAGGGAGACGCCATTGGACTTGGTGAAAGAGTTCAAAAATTAAAGTTGTCGCCATCTCCATTGGCGAATAAGAGGTGTCATGGGTTGCAGAGTAGGTGCAGGCTAGGTGACAGCCTTGGGGATGCCATGCCTAAATGAATGTAACACTATTGGAGGTGATGGGAGGAGACTTACAAGTAACAGTGTAGGTGCAGAGTAGGCGCAGCTAGGTGGCGGCCTTGGAGAAGACATCTATGCATGCATGTAACACGATTGGACATTAAGGGAGACGCCATTGGACTTGGAGAAAGAGTTCAAAAATTAAAGTTGTCGCCATCCCCATTGGCGAATAAGAGGTGTCATGGGTTGCAGAGTAGGTGCAGGCTAGGTGACAACCTTGGGGATGACATACCTGAATGCATGTAACACTATTGGAGGTGATGGGAGGAGACTTACAAGTAACAGTGTAGGTGCAGAGTAGGCCCAGGCTAGGTGGCAGCCTTGGAGAAGGCAGCTCTGCATGCATGTAACACGATTGGCATGACCCTCATTCTACGCATGTCTATTGCGTTAGGCATATCGTCCAAAATTTCACGAGGGAGATCAAGGACAAAACACTAAGGAAAGCGGTTATGAATGCGGGATATGCATTAACACAACCCACATTCAAATATTACCGCAACGAGATCCGTTTGTCAAATCCGGAAGCCGGTAGGTGGATCGACAGTATTTCGATGGAAAAATGGACTAAGTCATACGACAATGGCCAAAGATGGGGGCACATGACAACGAATCTTATTGAATCGATGAATGAGGTATTCAAAGGCATACGAAACCTCCCGATCACTACTTTGGTAAAATCTACATATTTTAGGATGACTTCGTTGTTTGCCAAAAGAGGTGAAATATGGAATGCGGTGTTGCAATCTGGACAACTATGGAGTGAAAGTTGCATGAAGTACATTAAGACAGAAAGTTCCAAAGTCAACACTCATATGGTTATACGGTTTGACCGACACAGTCATAACTTCATTGTGAAAGAGACAATCGACCACAATGAAGGCCTGCCAAGAAAAGAATATAGGGTTATACTACCTTCTCGTTGGTGCGATTGTGACAAGTTTCAAGCCTTTCGTATGCCTTGCTCTCATGTCATTGCCGCTTGTGCTTATACCCATCAAGATGCGCTACAACTTCTGTCACACATTTACAAATCTGAAACGTTGCTCAACGTTTACAACAATAACTTTCCTTTGGTAGCAAAACCAGATTATTGGGCTGTATACGACGGCGAAATAGTGTGGCACAATGACCAAATGCGAAGGAACAAGAAGGGTCGTCCCAAAAGTAAGCGCATCACAACCAAAATGGACGACCTTGACAAGCTGGAAAGAAAGTATGGTTTATGCCGTCAGGTCGGACACAATCGCAAAAATTGTCCGAATCGGGCGTCTGCCTCGACCACATAAAAATTGTAATACATAAAATTTTTCCTTTATTTTGTTGTACACATTAGGGTTTTTCGTTAACAGTATTTGCTACAATAAATATTGCGCGTACAAGAAATAAAATACGATATTCCGTCTACGAAATTACAATTGTTAAAACAATTTCATCTGACCCATGCATCATCAACATTACGTCGCTGTCTGTTTTGACTTCCTCCAACCACACATTAGGTCTTCCAGTCGCATGTGAGGTTGTTGTTCGTCTTCGCTGGATCCTTCGAATTCCCCCCCCCCCCTCCACAATGTCTCCATCTAGCCATCACATCAATTTCCACTTCAGACGCTCTATGGAGTGAATGTACCAGAATTTCATTTTCATCGCAAGTTTCGTGGCAGAGAAGATAACGTAACCATCTCTGATAAAAATCATGGGCGATGTCATGACGAAAATAACAGAGTAAAATATAAGAAAACAGTGCGAGAAAGTGTGAGAAATGACGGAGAAACGAACGAATTATTTATAAAAATAACATTTTGCCCTATGAGCCAAGTGAGATGGCGCCTCCTCTCACTTTTAAAGTGCATGCACCATCTCACTTGACTAAAAGAGAGAGGAGACGCCAAGTGAGATGGCGCCTAGAGCAAAACCCTAGATGGAGGCGCCAAGTGAGATGACTCCTCTTTTGGGGAGTCATCTGAAACATGGTCATTTGCGTAATTTTTTTCGAAATGTGGTTTTTTGCAATTATTTTTTTAATACATGATTATTCTAAAAAAAAATTCACGAAAGAAACGCCCCGTGAAGAAATTAATCTTTATATTCCTGAAGAATATCTAATTTATAGAAAGTAATGACTTTGGCATTTACGCGCCTTGGTGCAGACACCAACCGGCAAGAAGACTCCTTCAAGTAAACACACTTGTGTGAAACTGAAAATCACCGCTGCGCCACGTCACTATTCACCCACCGTAACGTTCAAACTTAAACCTCCTTCAAAGACCCACTTCACCCAAACAACAACACCTTCCTAGTTTCTCCCCCTACTCAACTACAACACGACACCGTTTCATCTCTACAATTACAAGCACTTCCCAAATGGCGACGGTGTCGCCGACGACCACCACGACGTCGTTTCTCTCGCCGACACAGAGGTACGCCGCCGCCGCATTGTTCGGATTATCCCTTCATGAATCCCAAGTCAATCAGACTCGGATTCTACCCTTACCAGCTTCAGATGACTCCATCTCCAACACCAACCGAATCAGTAGCAGTAGCTCTAGCAGTGCTGATTCTGTTTCCGATGATCCCGATCTTTGGGTTCACCATCGTTCCGGTTTACTTCAACCAGTTTTCAAGTTCGTCTCCGTTTCATAATCTTTTCCCTCTCTAGTTAGTTAGTTTTTTTTTTTCAATTTTGATTTGAATTTGAATAGATTTCTAGATATTGATTCTTCCGCGTGGTATGGAATAGAGGAAACCGCTGGTTCTTCTTCTGCTACTCATCATGTTGGACCAGTAAGTCTCTTCACTTCTTCCTTTCCCATGTGTTCATTCGTTATATATTTAGAACAGATACCTCTGAAAAAAAAGTGTTTCGCCGGTCACGGACATTTGTGATTATGTTTAATTTATTCGTTTTTTTCTTCTAATTATTACATTACTGGTGTCGACATGTCAGTATCAGGTTCATGTTTTCCGCGTGATAAGGATTGAACAATGATACTTTAGGGACTAAATTGATAATTACACATTCACTTTAATGATTTTGTTTCCCATTATGATTATGATTATGTATGTGAATGTTTCAGTTTATGAGACTGCTTTCCCAAGAATTTGATGAGGGTTCTGCGGAATCTTCTCAAAGGCTAGACCAAGAGCTTGCATTGTCAAAAGCTGTTGATTCTATAGTACTTGAGTTGGAAAAGAGTTTGCAGACTTCCAATTCTAAAAGAGAGAGGCTTAATGAGTACGAGCATCAGTGTCGCGAAAAGTTTCCGGCTCCTGATGTTCATTCTAATTCTGAAAAGATTGATGTAAACTTTGAAACTCAGAATGAGACTGATGATGCCCCTTTAATCAACTTTGAAGACATGGACCAGGGGTCTAGTAATAGTAAAATTGATGAGAAACCAATTGAAGAAGTGACGATGCTTAGTGATCAGAGGAAAGTGGCGGTTCTCTATGAACTTTTATCTGCTTGTCTGGCGAATTTGGGTGAAGATGACAAAGAATGTAAACGGAAGAGAAAGGGTTATGATGCTCGTCATCGCGTAGCTTTGCGGATGTTGGCAACATGGCTTGATGTCAAGTGGATAAAAATGGTTTGCAACTTTGCCTGATGAATGTTTTTTAGTATTGAACTTTATTGATAACGAAACAAATTGTTATAAGTTTGTGAGTTGTGTGGTTTCTGATTGTCTATACTGAATTAACAAGTATGTCTATTAAAAGTAACCTTTGTTGTGGTGATCGTTGACTATACATTCACTTTGGTTCCTAAAATACTTACATCCAAGTTGAGCCTATGTTTTATATTATTGGTTATTAAAATTTCGCTTTTTTACTGGTTTAATATTTTCTAAAGACATGATTGTTCGCTCTGTAGGAGGCCATTGAGACCATGGTTGCTTGTTCTGCAATGGCTATCATTAAAGAGCAAGAATCAAATCAAGACGAAACTCAAGAAAAAAGAAGCAAGTGGGCAAAATGGAAGCGCGGTGGTATTATTGGTGCTGCTGCAATTACTGGGGGAACCTTGTTGGCTATTACTGGTGGTGCGGAACCTTAATATATTTTGGACTGTACTATAGAAGATATAGTATTTATAAATGAATCATTTTCCACATGGATTTGATTTTTTTCTTTCTAAAACCGTTAAACAGGGTTAGCTGCACCAGCAATTGCTGCGGGCTTTGGAGCTTTAGCTCCAACTTTGGGTACACTGATCCCTGTAATTGGAGCCAGTGGATTTGCTGCAGCTGCCGGTGCTGCAGGAACTGTTGCCGGTTCTGTTGCCGTTGCTGCATCATTTGGAGGTATGAACATGTGGTTGGATCTACCCTTTCTTTTCAAGTTTCATTCGCAGTTAAAATTTTAAGGAAACAGTTGGTATCACTAAGCCATTTTTGTCACACTAATGTGTCTTAGATGTATAGTATTTTATTTGGGTTTTGAATGTGTCATCAGGAAAGTGCTGCGACATAAGGGTGATTTATACTTTTTGCTATAATTAACTATTGACATGCTTACATTAATTGCTTAAAGAAGATATATTCCTGTCCCACTTCAATACAAACTTTTTAACACCATCTTTTTATTGTTCAGAAGAGAATATACAAAGGTAACATGCGAGTTTGTCTTTACTTTTCAAAAGTAACTAACTGATGGAGTGATTTGTTACCTTTACTATCTGAAATAGGCTAAAGACGGTCCATTTGATTTCTTGCAGTACATGTCGGCTTTTTATTTTACTATTGTGATTAAATAAGCATTTGTAGAACCATTGGTTTTTCATTCTTTTAGTCATTTTACCTTTTATATGTCAGTGATATTCTGTTTTAGGCGATGGGAATTTTAATGTATCAAATTTGTTCTACCTCTACCAGCTGCTGGTGCTGGACTTACGGGAAGCAAAATGGCTAGGAGAGTAGGGGGTGTTGATGAGTTTGATTTCATATCCATCGGAGAAAACCATAACCAAGGCGTATGTTTTTATATCTCTCATGTTTCTATTTTCTTGCGACATGACTTTCCTCAGTTGAATTATGATCTGTGATGTATGAACTTTGTATCACCTTTCTTGTGGTATCATACGATTTTGGCACTTGGTTTTTTGTTTCAAATTAGATTTTCCTTGAACTTTTGATTGCAGAGGCTAGGCGTCGAGATCTTGATATCCGGATTTGTCTTTGAGAAGGAAGATTTTATAAGGCCATGGGAAGGACTGAATGACAATTTGGAAAGGTAAATTAGTGAATATTTTTCTTCATTGCAACTGTTGCCAGTCAAGGAAGGTTGTTTGGAATGCTTGGATTGGATGCAACTTGTCAATTAAAAAATACCTTATTACTGAAATCACCTTATACATATTTTACTTCCATTAGTCTTGATTTTTGAAATTGCATTGATATCATTTATATGATTGATGGTCCCACAAAAAATCTGACTTTTATGGCCTTGTCAAAAGTTAGGTATTCACTTCAATGGGAGTCAAAAAAACTGATTGCTGTGAGCACCGCGATTCAGGATTGGCTTACTTCAAGTAATTGGTTTTGCCTTTGGGTTCCTGTCAATGTTATTATTTGTGTGTGTGTCAGTGCTATCAAATATCCGCAATTGTGGTGCTATGACGGATATATGTGGCAGTTTTTGGGCTCGCTGCAATGGTAATATCGGCCGATATTGTGGGTTTTTCGGCCATAATCCGCTATAATGGCGCCAGAGTGTCCGGTATGGCGGGATTTTGCCTCTCCGCCTTGGACCGCCATCCGCCATGGGCAACATTGGTGTGTGTGTGTGTGTGTGTGCGCGCACGCGCGAACAAGTAGAGTTGTGTATGATGCTAATATTTTCAATACTTGCCTCAGGACTTGCAATGCAGCTGATGAAGCAAGGGGCAATGATGACCGTTTTGAGCGCCCTTGTAACTGCTCTGGCTTGGCCAGCTGTATTACTTGCAGCAACTGATTTCATTGACAGTAAATGGACATTAGCTATTAACAGGTTAACTTTGTTACCTTGTTTCTTGATTCAGAGTAGACTACATAAAAAGTATGCTTGGCTATGAGAAAAATTTCTGCGTGCTTTTATCATTTGATTCATATATGCAATTCAAGATGTTAGACGCTTGGAGTATTAGGAATTAGGATTGTCATTATGATTGCAATATTATTTATTGGGCTAAGCTTTTGCTAGCGGCACACTGCTCCACTACCAGGTGTATAAGATTTATATTTTGCATATCGTCAATTATCTACACACTACTATTACATATCAAATTTTCACCATGATTTCAGTTGATTATGCTGGATAGTTGCTGAATTACTATCAAACTTAACTGTGTCGTGGAAGTAGTCAATTGCAAGGAACTAATTTAAATTAATCTCTTTTCGGGGGAAAATTGTTGCCACATATGCTATTCCTCGATGTAGTTTTTTTAAGATTTAATCTAATCTAATGGCTCTGACATATTTTGGACTGGGTCATAACCAACGGGTAAAAATAAAATAGTAATATATTTTAGTTTGTTAAAATATTAAGGAAATTTATCCTGTTCAGGATTCATGGATATCCAAATCCAATCACCAACCCATCCATATTAACCGTATAAATATTTTTGTTTTCTATTTACATGGAATTGGAGTTCTGATGCTCACCTTTTTCAACTCTAAGGGAAAATCTGCACATAATTTAACCTTTTGCCCAAATGAATTGTACACTCGTGTGAGTTTTAGATGCCATAATTGTCTAGTTAAAAATAATTTACTGGATGATCAATAAAATTCCAGATCTGCTTATGTTTGTCTTTTTGCATACAAGGATATGTTTATGAATGTGATTGATTCAGAAAACATATGAACAATTTCTATTCCTAGTTTACAGTTAGATATGCTAAAATTAATTTGTTTTTCAGATCAAACAAAGCAGGAAAGTTGCTTGCCGAAGTATTATTAAAAGGATTACAGGGAAATAGGTATTTTACTATTTCTTTTAGTTTTACTTGAATTCTTAGAAATGGTGGAAGATGCAATAATAATGATCTGAGTTTCAGGCCTGTGACACTTGTTGGTTACTCTCTTGGGGCCAGAGCTATTTTCAAATGCCTACAGTGTTTGGCTAAAACAGAAAATGGAGGTAGGTATTTTTAGTTTCTTCTCCTCGTTTGTCTTTGACGTGTTAGATTATTTGATATTTTATATTAATTTGATAGCTTTATTTTATGTTCCTTTATCTTTTCAACTCTTGCACTGCAGCATGTGATTTCATGTCTTTGGGTACGCTTTTCATGTTTATCCATTGAATATGATGTTCTTACTAATTTTATGGTTTACCCTTTTGTTGGCAGCTGAACTAGTAGAAAGAGTTGTACTTCTTGGAGCACCCGTCTCAATCAAGGATGAGAACTGGGAAGCTGCTAGAAAGGTTTATATGGGGATATAAATTTTCTCTTTATAGAACTTGTTTTATCAGAATAATTTTTTTCCCCTCTAAAAAGCTGGTATTCTGTAGATGGTAGCAGGAAGGTTTGTGAATGCTTATTCAAGGAATGACTGGATGCTTGGAGTTGCTTTCCGTGCCAGGTACATAAAAACATAGTGATAGAACTTCCGCAATACAAAGTTGTCGGTACTGGAAGTTGGCTCTAACTAATCTTTGGGCCGATAAATGCTAGCAAATAGAGGTGTAATAGGTAATATACACTCTTACATGTGAACGTTCACTGTAAAAATCGTCGCATAATTTGCATAATTTGCAGAGTGACTTTAAGTAAAACTGTTGCAAGATTTAATTTTAATGAACAGAATGTTGAAATTATAATTATAATTAATGATTATTTATTTTACTTTGAGCAGTCTACTTACAAAAGGATTAGCTGGAATCGAACCAGTTGATATTCCTGGGATCCAAAATGTAAGATGCTTCATCTCTTTTTGTTAACATATAAATATTTGTGTCAAGTTGCGATCCTATGAATAACACAACATTCACATTATTTATGAAATTTAAATATTCATATTATCCACAAAATGGGTGTTATTTTGATTTGCAGGTTGATGTCACAGATCACATTGAAGGCCATTCATCTTATCTGTGGGCTACACAACAGATCCTAGACCAACTTCAGTTGGATACATGTTTTCCGGTTTATAACGGTGTTTCTTGCATGCAGTCTGGAGCAGAGCCAGAAATTTGGACGGAGAGAGGGCAAGACCAAAAAGTGTAGTAAACAAAAATTCACATCTATTACATATGCGAAAATATATATAATTAATATTTTTCTTAGCAGGGAAAAAATATTACTATAGCTAGCTATATTGAGTACATAAATAGTTTATTAGATATGAAAAAAAAAAGACTTTTTCTACACATTTTTATAGTGTTTCTCTCTATACTCTTTGAATAAAAGTTATCTATGCAGGAAATTAAAATCCCAACAATCCGGAAAGAAACTTCTAAGACATGAGTTAAGACATATATAGCTTGCAATTTCCAATTATTAATAGAAAAATCAATGCTAAGATAGACAACATTTTGATGAGTTGAGAGAAGTTGCAAATGGGTATCTTTGATATGATTGTGAATACTTAAATCTTGAGACAACCTAAGACACCAAGCAACAACCTTAAATCTTGTGACTTAGCATGAGTGGTTGGTTCCATAAAAAGATTGTGACGAAATATGTTTCTTTAATTTTTTAACTGACGTAACAGAATTTTGTGACGTGTCGCCAAATTCTCATTGCCATATATATCAATGTCACATCTTAAATTAAAGTGTTAACTATCTAAATTTAAAGAGGACAAAAAATTCAAAAAATAATAAATAGAAAAGATCAAAAAGAGGACAAAAAATTCAAAAAATAATAAATAGAAAAGATCAAAAATCTAATTTTTTGAAGGACTAAAACATTAAAAATTAAAATAAAAGAAGCAAAAGTATATTTAAATCTAAAAAAATATAACTAGCAATTTTATTAGGAATATAAAATTATACGACACACCAAGGAGATAATATTTTAATTTTTGAATAAATTATTCATAATAATTGAATCCTTAAAATAAACACTCTAAATAAATAACAATGACCTTTAAATGTCATTTTTTGGTTTATTAAAAAAAGTCATTATCATTAGCGTTTAATGGTAGTGAACTGTCAGTCGTAAATAAGTTTTATAAATATTCAATCAAAATATTTTAAAGTGTTAAACTAGTAAGAAACTCGTATTATTGCACGAATTCCGTCTGAATTTACATTACACGTATCAATAACTAAATTGTTAAGTATGACATCATATTTTCAGTTGGATAACATTAATATAATTATAATTTATAATCATTTATCAAATTTTAATTCATGTTTAAAATGTTTCAATTATATACTTCATTCTTAACGAATTATAAGCAAATTTAACTTTTTGAATATATTTGACAATTAATGTACAAAAAAAATTGCTTATAATTCGTCATAGAGGAGTACTAATAATATGTACTAACTTTTAAGCATTGATTCATATTTATAATAAATCGTACAACTATTTCTATAACTTCAATTATATAAAACAAAAAAAAAAGTTAAACGATAGATATTAAAATGATCAATCAATAGCTAGTATCTCATAAATACGTTCACATCTACCCGTGAATCCAGATGAATTAACAAACATCAGTTGAATCCAAATGAGTTAATTCTAAAAATTTATTTAACATATTTTAGATATTAGTCCATTTTTTCAAACTTAAAATGTATGACATCTCCCTGTCAAATTTCAATTTTAAAACTTCTTATTATATCATATTTATATTTTTTACAACATACAATTTATCACAACTCTTTGTTAAATTTCAATTTTAAAATCTTCTTATTAGATCATATTTACAAATTTTACAAATCTAAAATATCCTATCAAAAATTATTAAACTATGTAAATATGCCGATGCAAATTCGACATGAAGATTAAAATCAAACCTATAATCCAATCTTCAATAACAATCTTCAAAAAAAAAATCATATATAATATTATTGTAAAATTTTATAAATAAAAATATAAGTTAAAAAACCAAAAAAATATCATCAATTTTCTATTAAAAACGTGAGCGGACCAAAACTTTTTAAATTTAAAATAGAGAGATTATTTTCGTGAATCAAATAAAATTAGAGATTCTTGATAAACCAAGTATTTTGACCAAAAAAAAATTATTAAACCTAATTTAAATATGTTTTGATATCACTTTTTATTATCCTTTATTCAATCGTACTCTTTATTCGATCAACATTGTAATGACAATTGCAGCTGAAACGACACTATTACAAAACAGCCAGACACACCCATATGGTTCAAACCAAAACGCTACAAAAAAGATAAAGTCTTTAACAAAACCGAATCATTAGAATTCAAAACCAATTGAGAAATTTAGTTAAGCATCAAAACAAATGCAAAAGAATTCAGTTCACAAAACCATTACGATGAAGTAGTTAAAAAAACCTTTCGTGTTGGCGGCGACAAATTTTTCAGATTCGAGTTTGTCTAAAGGAGATTTTTAAAAAACTCATTCTCAATACTGATAACATCCTGACAACAAAACCAAATCATATTAACATATGTCAAACCATCATGGCCATCTTTGAGGACGAGCAAGGAGGACTACTGTATAAGGCCTCAAATTTTCTATGATTAAACTATAGTTAAAAATATTGGAAATCCACCAAATATCTATGATGAATTTCTACCAATCTTGATAAACAAGATTGATATCACCACACAATGACAATAAATAATGAGAAACGAAAAGAAAAGAAAAGAAAGAAGATAATTATTTTTTGCAGAGTTTCTCTCTGCCCACAAACTGTGGAAAACTTTATTAATCACTTGCAACTGCAAATTCTGTGATTACAATAAATTGACTTAATTACAAAATTAAAGATTACTCACTCTATTTATAGATTTAGCTTGCTCCCTAAGTCCAAAACTATAAAATCCCAAAATACATATTTTGATAGTAAATCAAATCTATTCTGTTTTAGACTTAAATCAAATCTATCTAAATCTAAAACAAATCTAACCTGTGTGTAGCTTGCTTCGATTCACAAGCTCTTCGACTGAGCAATGGCTTCCTTTGAGCAACCTGCTTCGATCCACCTCTAAACCCTTCGACACACATAGTTTCGATACCATGAATTACAATTTAACACACCACCTAATTCATTGTGTAAATTATCTATATTCATTATAGTTCTTAGTCTTCGAAATACTTCGATCTGCACTCCCTTCGTCATGATGTTTGTAATCTGATTCTCAGTTCTGCAGTGTTCCAAATTCATCTTCCCATTTGCTACCTTCTCTCGAAGATAACGGAACCTTATTTCGATGTGCTTACTTCGACCATATGCTATCGGGTTCTTTGCCAGATTGATAGCTGACATGTTGTCGATCTTCATGACAATTACTCCATGATCTTTCCCTGTTATTTCTTCGACCAAGTTCACCATCTAAGTTGCTTGACATGCACAAAGAGAAGCATCTATGTATTCTGCTTTGCATGATGATAATGTCACTATTGGTTTCTTTCTTGAACTCCAAGCAACTGGTGCACCACCTAATATAAACACATATCCTGTTGTTGATTTTCGATCTTCAGCATTACTACACCAACTTGAATCAGTGAATTCCACTAACTTGCATTCTTTTCCTTTATCAGATGCAGGAAACAAAATGCCATAGTCGACAGTTCCTTTAAGATACCTTAGTATCCTCTTCACCGCTGCTAGATGTGATACCTTGGGCTTCTGCATGAATCTACTTACCATACCTACACTATATGCTAAGTCAGGCCTTGTATGACAAAGGTATCTCAATGACCCAATAATTCTTCTGTATTGGGTTAGGTCTACATCATCTTCATTTGCATCTTTTGATAGTTGCAGTCTTGGTTCTCAGGTGTCGAAGTTGAGTTGTATTCTTCCATCTCAAATCTCTTGAGAATTTCTCATGCATATCTTCTTTGATGCATCATCAAATCTCTACTGCTCTTGTAGAATTCTATTCCAAGGAAATATGAAATCTCACCCAGATCAGACATTTCGAATTCCTTGTTGAGATCACCTTTGAAGTCTTCGATCTCACTTTTGTAGCTAACTGTTATCAACAAATCATTGAAATAGAGACATAGTATAAGCAATTCACTATTGCTTCTTCTTACATATACTCCATGTTCAGTTGTGCACTTCACAAATTCCTTCTCCCTTAGGAAACTATCAATTTTCTTATTCCAAGCTCTTGGAGCTTGTTTCAATCCAAGCAGGGACTTATGCAGCCTATAAACCTTTCTCTCTTTGTCATGTTTCACAAACCCAACTGGTTGTTTAACATAAACTTCTTTGTCTAAGGGTCCATACAGGAATGCACACTTCACGTCCATCTAACATATGTGCTATCTGTTTATTTCTGTTAGACCAACAACCAACCTGATTGTTTCGATCCTAGCAACAGGTGCAAAAACTTCATCGAAGTCTATTCCTTCTTTCGGTAGAAATCTTTTTGCCACGAGCCTTGCTTTGTGTCGAGTTACTTTCCCTTTCGAATTCATTTTCATTTTATATACCCACTTGACATTAATTTCCTTCTTTCCTTGAGGCAATTCAACAAGTGACCAAGTGTTGTTGTCTTTGATAAACTTCACTTCTTCGTTCATTGCTTTTACCCACTTAGAATCCTTTAATGCTTCAGCTGCATTGATAGGTTCAGCATCTGCATAGAAATCATAATGTACCAACTCACCTTCATTATCTATCACATCATCTGATGTAATCACACAATCTTGCAATCTTGCAGGAATGCGTCTTGTTCTTTGATGCCTGCTTGTACTTGGTTGATCTATAGTTGCTGGTTCCTCTTGTCGAACTTCTCTTTTGACTTGATTTTCTGGTTCTTCAAGTAAGATTACCACTGAATATTTCTTGACATTTTCAGTCCAATCCCATTCTTTAAGCTCATCTATGATCACGTCCCTGCTGATCACAGTTTACTTGTTCATTGGGTCGAACAACTTGTAACCTCCTGTCGAATGATATCCAACTAGAATCATTTGAATCGACTTGTCATCAAGTTTTCTTCTCAACTGATCTGGCACATGTCTATGTGCAATAGGTCCAAATAACTTTGAATGACTCAATCTAGGCTTCACACTAGACCAAAATTCTTCTGGAATAATTTCTTCTAGCTTCTTC